ATCTTACATTAATCATATGTAATAAGGATGGTTATAGGCCAGTCATAGTTCTGTGTTCTTGAACTATAAAAAAAAAGAACAATAATATCAGAAAGAAAAACAAGAGAGCCTTGTTGGCAAAACTGAAAAGATCTCGATCTCTCTCTCTCCCCCTGCCACCCCACCCCCCCGAATTTATCTTCCAAGTCTGGGCTTGAGAAAAAGCAATCTGGGTTTGCAGTCTTTTGAAGGCTAACTAGGATTTCCTTATAAGAAAATAATCAGTCACTTACTGAATAATAGGTGGCACAGATTTGCAAAAATGCACGTGTAAACACTTTGAAAGATATTCAAGTTTTTAATTCTAGATTTCCTACTGAAAAACATCCAAGAATTACGGCAATATGTATACTGTGATTTGTACCATCTTGCTAATTCTTCTGTTCAGCCTCATGGCTAAGCAGAAGAGCCTTCAACATGAAAGTTTCAGAAATTGGCAATGTCCAAGGGTTTGAACTAAATGTCATTTCTATCCTTGATGCTGCTGTCAGTTTTATGAGCTGTGGCACACACAGAATATATTGCACACTTAGAGCATGCTCAGCAGTGTTATTTTAAAACCATGACAGATGTCCAGCCCCAGCAGGATCTCACAGTAGAGAAGCCACAGCAACCCTGCCATACAGCTGATCCCTTTGCTCAAGGAGGCAGAGTACCACCCAGGAAAGCCAACTGCCCAAACCCATACAATTCCTCCACCTATTAAGTTCCTACTGAATTCCAGCTCAGTTTCTACATTTCATTCTGCAACTTGTAAGGTCTTCATGAGACTGACACAATTACTTGAGATGCTTTTCATTTACCAAGTGCTCATCTGTAACAAGAGGAACGAAAGCATACAGAGTAACACTGTTCCTAGCACAGAAGATTGGTCACTTGACTTGGTATAGTATGACTAATTTGCTGAATAGGTCTGAAGAGCTCTGAAGTTCACCACCTTCAGAGCAACTTGCAAACACACTTCTTTCTTCAAGCCCATCCATGATAAAGTCAACAAAAAAAGACAGTGAGTGGGAATCCACTTTATGTATTTCCAACGAAAATTTGATGTAACCAAGTGCCAAGGGTGATGAATGCATAAAAGATGAACTGCTATAATTGAGAGAACATTATGGTAGGATCTTTAGTTAGCATCTCTCCCATACATTTTCTTTTTTTTTTTTTTTTTTACTCATATGCCATCTTTAAAACAAGTTTTTAATATATCCAATTATACATCAAACAATAATCTCTCTATCTCCTGGTGAGAAAAATGAAATTGTGCATCTATATCAAGCAAAAACTCATATGAGAAGCAGTCTAGCCTTCTGAAATGACAGTTCTGTCATGACAAAGTATTTATTTAATGAGAAGGAATAATTCTTTTTGAGCATTTTTCTAGCTTTTCTAACCCAAGCAGACTTTTCTCTTGAGCTGGCTTTTCACTTGTAGGGAGAAATATCAACTCTTTGCAATATTAGGAGGCAATTTTTTAATTATCTTTCTTTTTTTCTGTTTTCTTTTTCTTTTTTCTCCCCTCCCCCCTTGCTTGTTATATCATATATCAGATAGCCCCAGGGCTGTCTATTCACAATACGGAACTCCACTTGTGAGAGCAAGAAGTTTTGAATTTCCTATGGAGACAGCAGGACTGGATAGGTATTTAAAGTTGTTGTACGTAGAAGGATAAAATATGTTTCTCCTCATGTCCCTCTTTCATGAGAGGGACACAAATATCCCTTATCCCACCTGAGAGCCTACGCAGCTATGAGCATCGCTGACCTATCAAGAGTATCAGTGTTTTAGGAGAAAATCCAAAGAAAATAGCTGTAGTGGTAGCTTCTTTTCTTAGAAAGGGTATGGATTCCAGGATATTTGGCTTGGTAGCCCACAGCCATAAACACCATTTTAACCCTGCTGCAAAGCTGTTACTCTAAGAAGGTACCAAATTAGACCAAGAATAACTTTGGTGAGAAAGCTGGTTTAGCACTACGTTAGCATGTAACACAGACAATCCTAAAGACAGACACCTGAAGAAGGAAACTTCCACCAGTGGCAAAACAATTGAATGGGCGTTCAAAGCACAGAGTTCAAAGTCTAGCAGGAAGGTCTTCAAAGGATGGAGGGACAGGACTAGATACAGTTTTGACTCAGATGTATGTACAGAGGTATGATAAGGTTGGAAAACTCATATGTTAACTTTCCCCGAATTTGAGAAGCCTTCAAATATTTTTTAAAGTTTTGTCTTTTAGCCAGAATTGCCTAAGTTACATCCAGAAAGCTTCAGTCAAAGTCCTGGCACCATCTGCCATGACCTGAAATATAGCCAAGGTATCACATTTCATAATTTCAGGTGTATGTGGCCTGTCTTCATTGGAAACTGGGTCATTAGCGTGACTTTCAACTTTGCTGAACTGCATTTCAGGCGAGCTTTGTGTACTTCTGTGTTTCTTTGGGAATGATTTGTCCAGCTCTGTTCAGAAACTTGGCCGGTTAATTGGATGCTCTCCCTCCTTCAACAGCAACCCTCAGCCAGCCAGATCTGCCATTTTATATTAGTCTTCCACTGAGTAACAAACACAAACAGACTTAATGGACCCAAGAATTTGCTCGATCGATACCCAGATGAGGCTAGGACAGTAAGATAACAGTAAAATGGCAAGGCCATGCCCAGCAGATGGTTAAGCAGCAGCATTTATTGATTCAAGGAATTTCGACAGCATAAACTTATTCACATTTCAAAAGGAGAAAATATTTTCAAACTAAATTACAGGGCAAAGAGAAAGAAGGGATTTGCTCCACTTTAAAGACAGAATTGGAAATGTAAATCACAGGAAGGAACTGCAGAAGAAATTATTTTCTTTTTTTTTTTTTTTCCCCAATACTATGTATAAACAAAGGTGAAGAAATAGTAAGTAGCACAACCCTTGCTAATATCTTCTCTAACAAACATCCAGGGAATACTCACTAGCTTATAATGCCTCTCTAGCTCATAGGCTAGTTTGAAAAGAGTACTTTCCTGATGCTCTGTCATTTGTAACTACAGTAACCAACTTATCTTTTCATTTAGATGCTGCTTTGGTAAACAAGCAAGTGGCTGACATGCCGTGACAACTGATTGTGTATTATACGGTATTCAGAATTCTCTTCCCAGGCTATCAATCCAAGCATAATGGTATATTTTAAAAACATGCATATTTGGACAATTCCTCTGATAACAATAGTATCCCAAATGTTTATGCAGCTGTTTAGCAAAGATGCTCTTTCTGACAGCTGTTTAGCAAAGATGCTCTTTATGACAAAACAGCTAGTTAGACATGAGCATAGAGAGACAATTTCTCTGTGATACAACTATCCTTGAAGATTTATTGAGTCAAAAAATAGCTTAAATGTGGATTTGAAAGTTTAGAAAACTTTTAGTTCAGAAAAAAAGGCTACATATTATCAGGCCATAATTCATTCCGCAAAATATTTCATTTTGCTAAAAGAAAAAGTTCAAAAGATTTTATAAAAACAACTGGTAAATCTTACTTTAATAATTATGATAACAAATTAAAAGAAAAAAAAATATATTTTTAGCCTATCGGGCCACTTGTTTTCGCTTTTATCTATTTTGCTAGCTTGCTTCTGAGAATTTTTTGTACAGCAATAATAAGAGAATCAAGGTTACAGGAAATGCTTTATATAACTTGCTTTTAAATTACACTGTATACATTTATTTTATTCCTACTAGAATTTCATAGTCCTTTATGAGATAGGACTGAAAATTAACATCGTTTCTTGAGTTCTAAAACAAGTTGAGATGAATATGGTTTTTGCTAAGTAAAAAGCAATTCATACACATATTTAGAATAAGTAGACTTTGTTTACAATATATTACATATTACAGAAAATATTCTGATGTTTGGATAATTCAGACCTCCATGTTAATAAATTTACTTCAGAAATGTAACTAAAATGCTAAATTAGAAGTCTAAAATATCATTAAAAATACAGTTTACTTAGTCCTACCTATAAATGTATCCTTTTTGTTTTAAATTTGTTATTTTTAAATATAAAGCTAAAATATAAATATTTATTGATACAGTCTTTAGAATAGCTCCTTGTTATCCTTGTTGGTACTATTACCTGTTCCAGTCTGCAAACCTTTCAAACCTTGTAATGAGAATTTGAATCTAAATCCTTTGAGATAAACTGATAAACTGCCATGGCAGTAAATAAGCCTTGAATCCAGCAGAAATTTTCAGTTTTTCAAAAACTGTCAGAAACACTTAAAATGTTTAAAGCCACTTCTCCTCCTCTTTGGTCTCAAAATAGGAAAACTCTTTTCCCTCTGACTTAAGGGGAAAATAAACATCATCAAAAAGAAACACATCCGTGATCAGGTATTTTCAATGTTTGTGATTGCCTTCTAGCCTCAACAAAGCTATCCAAATGAAGCTAAAGGCTTGACACTGCATTTTCACTGTGAAAACACTGTTCAGATTGTTTTATTTAGCACCAGCAAAGACAAAATTTGAATACACCATTTTCTCTATTAAGGAAAAAGTTTCAACACCTACCACCTACCAAAACCTAATATACAAGGAAGCCAGAACTGCAGCATCAAGTCTATAATCTCTGATACTAACACATCACATACAGTTTTAAAGGTCTCTAGAAGACACAAAACCTCATAAAAAAGCATGTTCAGTGAAATTTTCTTATCATATATGATCAATAAAATCTGTTGACAGTTTTAACCTCTGAAGTATTTTAAATAACTAATACAGCACTGCTTCTCCCAAATAAACACGACACAATTCTCCAGCATGAGCTAACCATGGAACTCCTTCCAATAGGAATAACTCATCTTACTGGAGTAAGGGGAGGAGGAAACAGACAACACTACAACTATTCAGTAAAGACATGTGACTCACCAGAAATAGGCTTTCTGTTTGGAAAAAAAAACCACACACACAAACCCAAAAAAACCCAACAACTTCCCCCCCCCCCTTCCCGAACAGGTAAGTAGTCCAGTAAGTTGGAGTATAAAATTAAGAAGAAGATGGACATGGAAGAACATATTATGCAGAAGAAGGGGGGGGAAATAACCGAGGCAGGACCAGACGGTGTCTGCTTAAGGATCCTAAAGGACCTCAGGGATGAAAGAGCTAAATTACCACTTGCAGAATATAATGTCATGCTTAAAACAGCCTTGGCATCTAAGGACTGAAGAATGATAAATGTGATTTCAATGGAGAAAAATGTGACAGATCTGGGGACTCACAGATGTTGATGTCTGTACTAGGGAAATTACTAGAAATAACAAAGTCTAGAACTGGTGTACATCAGAATAAATGTTTTCTGCTTGAGAGGAGTTGGCTGGCTGACAGTTTGCCAATGGTACCGCGTTATTCAGGATACAGAGGGCAAAGGCTGACTGTTAAGAATTGCAGGACATTACAAGGCTGAGTGGATGGGCATGAAGTGGCCAGAGTGAGATCATCTCTGGATTATGATCTGTGGCTCTATGGAACATCAGTTCGATGCTCAGCAGCACCCAAGAAAACAAAAGATACACTGGAAATTTTAAGAAATGGAGAAAATCCAAAGAAGGGTAACAAGGACTATCAAAATATGGGAAAGTTTCCTGTGCGAAGAACAACCGAATAAATAAAGGCAGTTCATCCTGGAAAAGAAATTATGATAGGACATGGAAAAAGTTGCTAGGAATGAACAATCCACTTGGGATAATCAAATGAACAAACAAAAAAAGATGGTTCTTCATGCAGCACATCACAAGTCACAAATATGCCCTGCACAATCAGTGGGAGGCCTCGAAGCCACCCAGACAAATAGCTGGTAGGCAAGGGACTGAGGAAAGCTGATCTTGTAACGTGTTTAACCCAACTCAGTGATAAGATAAGTCAGATCAAGGCAGTCTGAAGGCTACAGCAAGTAGGTGAAAATGTGACGTGAGGGTGACTATTTGTGGATGATGTGATGGAACCTCTGACTGGAGGGCTATTTTTGCACAGCCCTTAGGTACCTGTAAAGAGTGATGGATGCGTGTATGGAAGCAAAGAGGAAAAAAATAAGAAAAAGAAAAAACAAAGGTCCTGACTTCACAATACCAAGGAACAGTACCAGGATCAAAGAAAACACGAGGTCCCTAATTCCCTCATAAAGATACCTAAAATCTGATCAAATCTCAACTATAGCTATGCTTACTGGTCATAGATACAAAGTTAATTTAACGCAATCTGTAGTTCTTAATTAAGTCATACCTTCAGCAACTGCTAACATACAGAGTCCCTCTGTGCTGTGAAGCATCGTGGCAAGCCATAATACTTATCCGCCCTCACTGTAGGGATTACTTTACATATTGCCTTTGAAAACCAACAAGATCAGTATGGAAAAAATATTCCATTGGGGGTTACGACATAGTTGGAAGCATATATGAATTGGAGCTGAAAATACCTGGGCTGTGGTAAAGTATAGAGGAAGGCACTATCATAGGGACTTACCACTACTGGAGATTACACAGGGCAAGCTGACATTCAGATGCTCTTATTTAGAAAAATCACTGCAGAAAGCAGCCCAGAATTGGAGAAATTAGGTTCTCAGATGCCTTTTAACAATCAGGTCGAGTTGTATTCGGGGGGCTAAGCTGAGGAATACTCACTGCTAAGTCAATCCATGACTTGAAATAACATCAGGCTCTCACACCAACACTGTAAACAGGATACTTGATACGACTAATTTTCTGTGTGTGTATTTTAGCCAAAGAATTGAAAGCTCTTTTCAGTAGCCTGAGTGAACTCTTCATTCAGTTCTATTCTTCAATATAATTAGGTTCTACTGTTGGGAGCATGTGTGAAAATACTCTGCCCTTTCCCTATACATACAAAAGACGTAGCTGCTTTTAGTGCAACTAGTTGCTCCTGTGAAAGAATTCAAGTTTCTCTTGTACTTTCTCTCATACTTAGAAGAGCTGGATTTTAATCAAGAGAAAAGAATGTCAAACAATTACTCTTCCAAATAAAAAAAATTAGATTAATTTCCCATTAAACAATTGATTCATAAAGTTGTGAGTAATGAATAAACATCTCCATTTTCCAAGTTAAAACTAATGAATCATTTTACCATCCCCAGTATTCTAGGCTATTAATATTTAATTGTGATTTCAGCTTGTTTTTCTTGTCTAGGATTGAAAGAGAAACAGAATAGTGCCAAGTACTAAGGACGTGCAGGCACATTATTCCTAGCAAAGAAAAATTAAAGTAATAGAGGAAGAAGATCTGTGAATTGGCTCATGTATTAACCATATGGAATGCTGCCAATGCAAGTAAGCAATGTTCAGTACAAAAAATAGATGAGACCATGAGTCTGATTCGAGACATCACACTTCAACGCCGTGCCACATACTTTAATCTCTGCTTTTCTGTGGAATGCTCACAACTCTGAAAGCAACCTTGACCAACAAAATATTTCTGTCTTGGTCTTTTAACTGTCTCATAAAGTTGATGATAAAAAAGTCTCCTCTGTTTTCATTGGCCTTTTAATTAAAAAAGTGGCAGAAAAAGCAGAAGAGAGGATTAGCTGAATGAAAGGATGGACAATCTATCTAAAGCATCATTAACTTCTGTGGGCTGTTTTTGGTGCTCCGTTGCTGTAACACATCTTTGCATTTTAGCAGGAGGTCAAGCAGCATAATCGAACCCAACAAATGTTGGAGTTAATGTGGTAGGGCATCCCAGTAAGCTCAGTTTCAAATATACTTGGGATATAGTTTTTCCTCATAAAACAAACACTGTCTTCCAAATGTAGAGTAGACCAAAAGCTGTAGTAGATCATGTACACATCCTCATAGCTTCACTTTACTTTTTTCAAATGCTATATTTTCTAGACTCCCTCTGTTTTAATACAAACCACAAGGAAGGACAGAAATAATTACTCCTAGGACCTGAGAAAATATCTGGACAGGACCACCATGGGCCAGTCAATAGCTTGGTGGATAAGCTTTCACTTTCCTCTCCAAGACACACAAAATTAGCATATACAAAACATTTGTGAGTAAAGGCATTGCTTCACTATACCATGACCTACAGAACATGTGAAAAATCTTCTGTTCGGAAATGGTTATGCCTCATAATATTGTAAAGGAGCTGGCAGGAATGAAAGAAGCAATCAGGTGGATCATGGGGACTTAAGGAGTACTACATCATTCATGCAACTGGTGCATCAGTGAAAGAAAATCAGATTTCAGCACATGAAGCTGCTGTGAATATCTTCACAGTAAGAGCACTGACCCGCCAAGACAACTGATAGGTAACTTCTTGGTGTGTCTCTGAAAGCTGCCCTAAACACTCCGCAGTGGCGGTTTCCATTTTAAACAATGCATTGATCTTTTTGTTGATGTTGCTCTTTTCACCAAAACTCACTGATATATATTGTTGCCTCTCCTATTTAAAACACTGCAAAAACAAATTGTACAAACAAAATATTATTTATGAATAAGGAGCTTCTTATTACCTGTCAAATGCTTACAGAGGCCAAATTCTATTAGCAAAACAGGGGGGAACCTCTGGAACCAAAACTAAATGCTAACCATGCTTGAACAGTGTTTCTTTTAAGTGTCTTTAAGTATTAAGTCTTTAACCATATTTTTTTAAGCATCTTTCATTGCTAGTAAAAACAAGGATGGAAATATTGAAACCTGAAATAATTGTCAGATTTTACAAGTTGTATGAAGAGAAGCCTCAGAAGAATAAGCTTCAGGAATTATTGTCTCTACCTGTTTCTGTACTTCACTTATATGATAGGCACTCAGAACTGCAATTACTGATATTTTCCTACCCTCAGGCCTATTCGAAATGCCAAATTGCTCTGTGGCACCATAGAGAAGAATGAAAATGCCCACTTCTACATTTAAGGGACCTATACCAGATATCGGTTAGCTTTTTTGCTGACACATAATGAAGAAGCCATACATTGATAATATGTGTGGGAACAGCATGATTATGACTATGACCAGCTCCCCTTCTCTGTCCTGTGGTTACCTTAGCTTCTTTTCAAAAGTGATAGGGGAAAATTAAGACCTCTGTTAAACAGATATACTTGCAAAACACACTCCATTATGTGTCTGACATGATACAACTGTGTCAGACTTTTCACAGCAGTGTGTTTGTTCTAATTCAGTCAATGTAGCATACAGTGTAGCAGTGTCTACTTTATGTTCTCCGACCGCGTTGTTCAAGACAGGTATATACTCTCAAAAACCAGAACACAGAAGGAATTGCAGTATGATGACATTAAGAAAGATGAATTACAAGTTCAATTATCTGCAATTTACAGCGCAAACATTTGCTGACTACAGCCAGGAACTAACTGGTGTGATCTACCTCTAAGAGAGGTACAATGTGCTGGTAGTTAATGCGCATGCCTGCTTGTGTCTGAGCACATGCCTGCATGGCGCTCCATCCGTGCAAGAAGGGAAAGAAAATGTTATTCTGGAAATTTGATATGGTGGGTGCAACTTAGATATTTTCAGTTGATGGTTATTAGGGAGCCTAGAATTATTTGCACAAAAGCAGGAATAAAAAAACCAGAGCAAGTGTGATAAAACTACAGGGATCCACATAACAAAAGGTCATTAAATCCCTCACAGAAAGTAGTCAAGCCATGAAGAAATATGAGATATCTATACAGAATGCTTTCACAGTCCTGACTTTTGTGTACCAGAATATATTGTATCTCCATAATCCTCTTTTAAGGCTATGTAATCAAAAAGGCTAACTTTGTGGGCTTTTTTCACCCTGATATAGAAGGATTATTTATATTTCAAGCTGCAAAACTCATTACTCATTATAACTACTTCTATGTAATCAGATAAGTTTTATAGTAATTGATTACCATAATTAATTAGTATTTTCAATATTTTATAAGAAATTTATTACAACCATCCTGAAAATAATGGATTTTTTTAACAGGCCAAAGAAATGCTGTCACT